CACTCCTATTCAATATAGTATTGGGAGTTCTAGCCACAGCAATTAGGCAAGAAAAAGAAATAAAGGGTATTCAATTAGGAAAGGAGGAAGTCAAATTGCCTGTATTTGCAGATGACATGATTGTATATTTAGAAGACCCCATTGTCTCAGCCCAAAATCTCCTGAAACTGATAAGCAACTTCAGCAAAGTCTCAGGTTACAAAATCAATGTGCAGAAATCACAAGCATTCCTATATGCCAATAACAGACTAAAAGAAAGCCAAATCAAGAGCAAACTCCTATGCACAATTGCTATGAAGAGAATAAAATACTTAGGAATACAACTAACAAAGAAGGTAAAGGACCTCTTCAAGGAGAACTACAAACCACTGCTCAAGGAAATAAGAGAAGACACAAACAGATGGAGAAACATTCCATGCTCATGGTTAGGAAGAATCAATATCGTGAAAATGGCCATACTGCCCAAAGCAATTTACAGATTCAACGCTATCCCCATCAGGTTACCAATGACCTTCTTCACAGAACTGGAAAAAAACACTTTAAACTTCATATGGAACCAAAACAGAGCCCGCATAGCCAAGCCAATTCTAAGCAAAAAGAACAAAGCTGGAGGCATCACACTACCTGACTTCAAACTATACTACAAGGCTACCATAATCAAAACAGCATGGTACTGGTACCAAACAGAGATATAGACCAAACAGAGATTTTTTTTTTTTGGTACTGGTACCAAACAGAGATTTTTTTTTTTTCATTAGTAGCTGTTTATTGATCAATGGTTTGATATAAAGTTATTTCAGATCTTCAGATTTTTGCCCAGACAGAATCACAAGCATTACAAAGTTTTTTCTTAAAAATAAAAAAAGGGTAGGGGCAAGTTCCAATTGGTGGAACAGAACAGAGGCCTTGGAGGCAATGCCACACATTTACAACCATCTGATCTTTGACAAACCTGACAAAAACAAGCAATGGGGAAAGGATTCCCCGTTTAATAAATGGTGGTGTTGGGAAAACTGGCTATGTGCAGAAAGCAGAAACTGGACCCTTTCCTGACACCTTACACTAAAATTAACTCCAGATGGATTAAAGACTTAAACATAAGACCTAACACCATAAAAACCCTAGAAGAAAATCCAGGCAAAACCATTCAGGACATAGGCACAGGCAAGGACTTCATGACTAAAACACCAAAAGCATTGGCAACTAAAGCCAAAATAGACAAATGGGACCTAATCAAACTCCACAGCTTCTCCACAGCAAAAGAAACAGTCATTAGAGTGAATCGGCAACCAACACCATGGGAAAAAATGTTTGTGATCTACCCATCTGACAAAGGGCTAATATCCAGAATCTACAAAGAACTAAAACAGATT